TTTTTTTTTTTTTTTTTTTGTAACTTTGTATCATATTACCTTTTAGTCATTAATAAATGACAATTTTCAATGATATAATTCTAAAACTTATTTAATTTTGAGCAAAAACAAATCTTCGTTGTGCTATTGAGCTTTTGGCTACATAAATATGGTTTGATGAATTTGAGAACTTTATCTGTTTAAGAGATTTAAAACAAGAAAAATTCATTTCAAATTTACCATTATCGTTGACCTCAGCTGCATTAGAGAGGTGCGAAACATTAGCAGGCGACTTAAAAAAGAGCTGAGAAACCTTTATCATGACTTTTGGGCATATTTTGGTTTAAAGTAATGTGACCTGGTAAATGACACAAAATTGACACAGCTAGATAAGCTAATACTGTTGAGAGCAATTAAAAATATCTTGCTGCCACAAATAAGGGCATTTTGTGGTTCAACGGGAACCACGTGACTTATTTCAGTAAGTTACGCAAGCACAGTTAGCTTAGCTGAAAACGCTATGCAACCTTCAAGGGATAAGCAGAAAACTAATCGCATGGATGTGATGGCCAAAATAGATGCCTTCAGCGCACAAATAACTAACTATCGCTATACAGAGATTCTTGCAGTGGAAATGCCTAAGGCCTACAAATGTAAGAGGGGTGACATCGTTGCACCCGAGAGAACAGACTGCAGCGTTCCAACAGGTATCTGGGCAATACACTAGAAAAGTGTGTGCAACAAGAACACAGGGACATTCTCAATGTCATAGGTACCAGAACAAAAGTAATATACAAGAATAAAGTATGAGATCCTGTGTGAAAAAGATCCAGTTTGACTGTCTGGTGTATTATAACTACCGCGCCCCTAGCTGCCCCTTAAACGGTGGCTCAGCAGCAGAGGAAGATGACTGTGGAGTTCTCAGCTGGGCATCTGACGTAAGTCTTAGGCCATGTTTTACTTTCATTACCCATCAATGACAGGGCCAATAGATGTGAAGTCGCCCGTACTGATCAGATATAAAAGAAGTTTCGGGAGTGAATAGGTCATGCTATCCAGTATAGTATCAAACTAAACTAGTGAAAATATAAGTAAAGCAGCACTACCTAAAGCAAGCGCTATCGATACAGCAAGTGTAAGTGTACTAAAAAATTTTAATCAATATCAACTAATAAAAACAAAGATCAAGATATCAAGATATATCAACAGGGAAAGCATTAAGACAAGCACATCAATTGAAGACAGATATCACAAATCCTGATTTGAATGGGAATTTAAGCAAAAACGGCTTACAATTTTGATTGGTTAGAAGCGTGATATTTTCGCTAAAGATATGTCAAAATTGGGTACGGCAAACGTGTGCGGACATCAAATTCAGACAGTAGGCCTAAATGATATCTCCGTGAAACAAACGTTTTACGGAACATCTCCCAGTTAAATGGCGGATTGGTAAACGCATCAAGGAAACGTTATAGCTTAGAAATACAGAAGGAGTTATGAGTGTGTATATTTCTCCAGTATTGGGGTCGAAAGTAAATGAATACGGACTTGAGACTATAGAAAATTGAACAAAGTTGCAGTTCCCATACAGCGTGGAAAAACTTTTTGATCCAATACGCAATTAAAAAGCTCAAATTTTAGTTCATTGGATATGGCAAGTGCATGATGGCAACTGAAGTAAGATCCAAAAACAAAGCATAAAACTACATTCATTGCATACCTAGTCATTTTCAATTCTTAAAACTTTATTCTGAGCTAAGAAATACCCGGACTCTAATGAATCACCTGCTCAAATATATTAATTGGAAAAAATGTTCTATTATATATCGACGCCATATTTGTAATTAGTGAAACAATCTGAGATCATTTGAATCATTATGATCTAGTGTTAAAAGATTTACGAACAACAAACAAAATTGATATTATTATTATTACTATTATTATTGAGCTCATATATATGTACAAAATGTATATTAGAAATTTGAATACTAACGGAGCTCTTGAAAGTGATAAAAATGTTGTTAATAGTTATGACAATAATTCAATCCTGAATTTTAAGAGGTAAAATTCAAATGGTTAATAAGATAGCATATTAAAAGATAATGAGAATAGAAATTTAGGGTCAAAAATGGAAACAGACAGAGGGTACTTTCTTTAAAAGTTTAAGTCTTGTTACTTGGTGAATGGTGAGCAAGCTAAACGCAGGATGATAAAAGTCACTCATCGTGTGTGCCGTTCTCCAGTAAATTATCTCAACAGATATGCCAAAAGATGGTACATGATATTCATGACCAATTAACGTACATGTACTGCACGTCTTAACAATACTTTTCAGTCTCCCTTTACCTTCCTCTGTTGCACCACCAAACCATGTAATAATAGCAAACGTTAAAATCAGTTTACGCTCAGAGAAAGATTTATTCAAAAGCGCTTTGATAATTTAAGGGATGCCAAAATCTTTATTGGGTGTGATCTAGATCACGTCTGTCAGCGGTTTAACTAATAGTCCACGCCTTTAACACAGAGCGCCCCGATGAAACAAAATATACATCGCTCTTTAGTTTAAGCTTCAACCCAGCAAACACAGAACGTTATTGTAGCGTTACCATAACGTTTATATAACAAAAAAAAAACGTTATCCAGGCCTACCCAACTACCAGACTCGGCACCTAAGGATCCTGAATTAACCGGTATATCGGACCACAATACCGGTTTTCAAGGTGTGTGTCAGATCGCATTTCGGAGTATCAGTCAGAACACCGACAGGATGAGCCCACGATCGGCTGTCACCTTGATTGGATAGTAAACGATTGTCGTATTTAATCGCTATATGATTTTAAAACCGGGTGCATAAATTTGAAAGCCACCTAGATGAACCTTAGACTGCCACATTAATCTAATACAATGCAAAAAAGCCCTATCAAAAGTGTTTAAAACATTCAAACCGAATGTCGTAAAGTCCCCATATACCCCCATAGAGACAATGAAATAGAGTACTCTAAAGTAAGAGTACAGTTTAAGGTTGTTCAGCCGAGCGTGGATGAGCCCGCAGTCGTCCTACAAAATTTGTTCTGGGGTATGATACTCCGAAATGCGATCTGACACACACCTTGAAAACCGGTAGTGTGGTCCGATATACCGGTTAATTCAGGATCCTTAGGTGCCTAGTCTGGTAGTTGGTTAGGCCTGTTATCGTAACGTTAAAATAACGTTCTGTGTTTGTTGGGCACAAACAGCTTATTGTCCCACAGCCGTTGTTTATCGGCAGATGCGCCCTGACCAGCGATCAACGAGTTCCAAAGCAGGCCCTTGATACGGCTTTGCTGTTCCACACTGGTTTCACTGAACACAGACTCAGCAAGCATAACCTGGTTCGACCGGAAAACTAGAGATACTGTTAAATATTTCTTTCTCCCGTTATCTGTGGTCATCCCCGCAGAAGATCTTTCATCACAGATTTTCCTCCTGGCCCATCCGCTATGGAGAACAAAGTTTCGGTGTTCATTATGAGAGACCTCTATTATTTTTTTGTGTAGATTTAAAAGACTCATATCCACAAGTAGTAGCATAATTCTGAGTAAGCAACCTCTCACTGATTTCAATCTGCCTGCTACAGGTAAAGATAAAATCTACGAAGTTGAATGCGTATAGGGGCCCACAAAGGCCTCATACAGAGTAAGAGACTAACTAGTCCGAGGGTCAATATGGCCGACCCACTTGAATACTTCCCCACGGGATATCTATTCAGTGTCTATTAGCGGATTAGAAGGCAAGCTTTGTAGTTCCCTATTCTGAATGGGGCCAAATTGTAGCCTACATGTTTTAATATAATAAGCGTATGTCGTAAGTTTAGCTTTGGGTAGAGAGACCCTATCTTTTAGATGTCGTTTGTTCATAATTTTAGTTCAAATATATTAATAGATATATTTTGACATAATTTGTTATCTCTTGTTTTTTTCCTCCGCCTATAAGAATTAACTGCTTTAGATAATCCATTATTCCCCCTTCACCCCGCGATTTGAAATAATATACTCTACCGTAGCTCTGTACAAGTTGATAAAAATGCTTTGTGTGCTTCCGAAACCCTTGAGCTTCCTTAAAAATAAATTCTCAGACTTGCGTATCAGAATTTGTGTGCCAATTGTAATTACGTATTGATGGAGACCCCTAAAATCTAAAACACATCAACCCTTTTTACCTCAGTATCTTTAATGAAAATTGAAGACTCCATATTTTCGTTTTTTCTAAAGTTCAACACTACAGTAGCTCTTGTGTTTTTCTAGCATTTGAAACCAAGTTACTCTCATTCTGAGAATCTCGCTTATAAAACCGTCTTGTGAACCGATCCATTTTTGGAGGTAATTAAGGAGGAATATTTTGCCTTTTTAAAGATGCAGTTCTTGTCGCAGCTTTTGCTGATTGCGTCTGTTGAAAACGGATTCAAACATTCTATGTTGTGTCTGTCAGTCTTTCTTGTCTTCGGCGCCTGTCCATCTTTCTTATAAGGACAACAATGATCATCTAGCCTTGCATAATGTAGATTTACAACGAAGTTTATTTATAATTGTTTGTTTTGTTTTCTGGAGATGTTCTTAATTGGGCGACCGGGTTAGAGCTGATAAAAAAATATATAAATGTGTAATGTATCAGAATATATCGAAGTACTTCTGAGCGAGAGAAGAGAGAGTTACCAGAAGATGAAATGTGCAGTGGTAAAAAATCTGCTGTTCAAAGGGAATTAGAGATTCGATACGATAATTTATTATTCACTTTTGCGATGTGTTTACCTACGCATTGTGCCCGCCTTGTCAGGGCATAAATTTAATTAAGCGATTTCTTTCGATGAATAATTTGTGTAAAGCTATAAAACCATTAAGCAAAAACTTGGATAAGCTGGCGTACTTTGACAAAGAGGCAGGTTTCAGACGACACTGCCTTTTACAGAATGCATGCACTTTTTGGCACGCAAATCAGCTGCCAATCAACTGCCATCAGCTGCCAATTACAAGCAAGCCCAGAATTACAGAATGCATGCACTTTTTGGCTGACCAATCAGATACCAATCAGCTGCCATCAGCTGCCAATCACAAGCAAGCCCAGAAAATGAGTAACAACGCATGCGCGATGAGGACTCTCCCTGTTTTCTAATGCATATAATGCAGATTATTTGAATATATCATTATTGCGTGGCAGACTTCTGGACAGCAAGGTTGGACATCTCTCATCATTTCACTGTGTCAAAATGCTGCCAATAGCTGTTGCATTTGTTTTGCTTATCTCTCAACAACTGGACCAAACCGGTAAGTATTCAAATCTTTTACTTTCGCATTTTATGAGTTACCTTATACCATGTATTGGACATTCAAGCAATTTTAATACAAAGTCATAGCAATATTTAAAAAGTAAACTGCAAGCTTTTTAAGATGTGTAATTTGCAAGCGTTTGGACATGTTTCACAGCCATAAACTTATTTTGCAAAGTTTTCTCTATTTCGTCATTTAGACCTTAGAGACGATAAAACACCTTAAATAAAAGATTGACTGACGCTTACCTTATCAGTCTGTCCGCAGATCTGGCATATCAATGCGTAAGCGGTGATCATTACAAAAACACCTACGCGCTTTCACAAAATAGTCCGCGACGTGTGTTTCGCGCCATGTTTTCAAAAATCCGTAGTTGTTATATAAATCCATGAAGCTCTGTGAATAACTCATTATTCCGCTTCAAACTTTCAAAAAATAAAATTTAGAACTTGATGTANCATTAGGCACTTTTATCAATTGTACAGGATACATTGCCATGATACAAAACACCGCGCCATTTTCTTGAAATGGCCGGTCATTTTGACAGTAACTGTCAAATTACAATAGAATAAAACATTGATTGCAAGTGCAGTAACGGAGCAATGATTTCCGAGTAGAAAACAGTTTTTGGGGAGAATTTGTTTACACTCATTCTGAGTATGTGAGTCCATTTGAAGAAAACAGAAAACTGAAAATTTTAGTTTAAGATATTGCCACGAATTCTATTTTTTAAATCTCTGATGGCAGAAACTGATAAATCATTGAATTTTTAAAATTCATGTCTTGCTAGTATGGGGACGAAAAAACGAAGGTTTAACTTATTTTGGCAACAAGTTTTAAATATAACAACCATTTAGTATAATATTCTAGCGTAATTAATAGTAACAAAAATTAGACCGCGCAAAAGGGGTATGACGAGATGAACATTTATTTTACTGATATATGTTGCTATGTTTCGTCTTAAACAAATGACTGTGTCCTGTCACCATATTCTCTTGCTAATAGTGGATAAAACTAAATTGAAGGTTTCATATTACAAAAAACACCAAGCAATTAAAACTAATAACATACGCCAATACGTTACGTTACCTTTTTCAGTTTTTGAAAATCGGCGACACCATGAAAGTAGCCTCAAGCTATTTATTGAGTTATTCGAAATAAACATTCAAAAAATTTTGTGAGACGTTAGACACCGCACTGGCTTCCTGACAAGTTGCACATTTTTCTACTTACGTAAAAATGAAGTAGATCGATTGGAGAATGTGAAATGGTGCTGCGGACGGCAGTAACGACGGTTTAAAATCTAGTCCATGTTGTTTGAAAACAGATTAAGCTGGTAATTATTATTTTTTGTAAGTTGCTAGACTTAAATTAGTTAAGTTCCACTTGGACAAACAATTTCTCCGCTTGCTTACCTTTAATAAAAGGGAAAATGTTAAATGGACCTAAATTCTGAGAATAAGTATTTAGCAAATAAATCTCGAACAAATTACTTTTAATGTGTTCGGTTACAATAATGATTTACCGTGGCATTGATTTTACATTGACAAATAATATTAAAAGATCTGTGTAGGTAATACCTGATAACAACGTGACAGGCAATTTAATAAAACCATGTTGTCTCGTCCGCTAGTGCTGGTTTTCAAACAGAATCTCCATTTTAGATTTTCTGCTTGAGTTTCGTCTATAAAACAGGCATGTAGGTCTTGCAATTTTTACTGCTTCGGCACTTAACAGAGTTAAAGGCACAGAGATTGACAAACTACTATATCAAAATTCGTTTGCCTTTTGGACGTTGCTATAAGCAGACATTGAGAAACCATTACGTGTGACGTTACTACACACTGCAGTTGTTCAGGAGCTTGTTTTTAATTATTATACTACTTACGGTCCAAATTTTGCACAGCATTTAAGGTCAGATAAGGTACACTGTAGTAAAAAATTGTGGTACGTATAAACTTATACTGACAATTTGGCAAGAACGCTAGCAAATATTTCAGAGGTTTAGAGGGTACAAAATCAAGGTTGGAACAATCATATCTCAACCTTTTCCTTTTTTAATTATATCATAGCAATAAGAAGAAACAACACAACCTGTTTTAACTGATCATGATTCCTAAAACATGGTAACCTTTTCAACGCAATTCACACATTGTGAACTATCGTTCTACGCATTATTAACATACACTGTATTTCATGAAAAAATAAATCATAATTTCCAATAAATATATTTCTCAATACAAAAGCATGCGCTTAGTTTTGTTAAGATGAGTACAAATTTGTTTTCATATTCATACAAAGAATTAAATGAAATCTTCTTGATCTGTCATTAAAATGGCCAATTTTCACAAGGGAAATTCAGATTAAAAATAGTGCAATAACTTTTAATAGGCTCATTAGAAGTCAGTCTTGCTGTTGGGTAGAAATTGATCATGGTACGAGAAAAAGGTTGCTTTGAGGGACCGTAGTTGTGCCATTGATGTCATTGGTTTTAACACATTCGCTGGTTGCCCTGGTCCAATCATTATTGACTTATTTTGCTTTCTTGAGTATACGGTGTGACAGGAATGTCTGCTACAGCTAGGAACGGTAGTCCGTTCTCGTTTCTTTGAACAGGTGACATTCGTCCCATGTACCAACCCCTATACTACGACTAACCCTAACCTGTACTAGTCATATGGGACCCCGGATTTCCATTCCTAGGACTACCATTCCTGTCACACCGGATCTCTAGTAAGCATTCCAGTGATGGCGGTTCCTTTCCCACTTTACGACTGCCAGTTATAAAAAAATAAGGTTAATTGAACACAGAAGCTAAGTTCAAGTTCAAGTTCAAAGGGTTTATTTAATTATAAATCACATGTTTGAAAGCAGTACAGAGATTCTGTATTCATGTACTTTTTGATAGTTACCATACTTTTTTAACCAAGCCCTAAGATGGACTAAAAGCTATACGCTAAGTAATATTTTTATGTACAGACACAGATCTATGGTTTGCAGCAACGAGTTTTCAGGAGTTTGCAAGAAAAATTTATTGCTGCTAATTTGCTGTCATATTGCAGCATATTTGCTGCAAATTTGCAAGAACGAATTGCAGTTTGGGACAATATTGCAGCGGCCGTGATATTTTGCTTAGGGATATTACTTGTGTACTCTATGCACCAATACAGATTCCACATTTCATGAGACTTTTAGGCTTATTGTCTTAAATTTACTGGAGTGATCAGTATTTTTAATACACAGCTTGAATTTAAAACTCAGATTGATCAGACTATCATTTTGACAGTTATACTTTTTTATTATTTTATTTTTTATTCAGCATATATTATACAATATGCAATACAGATAACACATTTCATAGAAAACTGTTCAACCTTTTGTCATCAGACTTACAGGACTAATGAATAGGACTTAAATCTAGGATTAATTTGAAAACCAGCTTCATTTGATTATTTCTTCAAATTTAATGCTATTCTTTGCAGCATATATAATGCTACATGAATATGCAATACAGATGCCACATTTCACAGAAAGCCATTTGACCTATTGTCATCAAACTTGCAGGGCTGATGAATATGACTTAAATAAAGTCAATTTGAAAACCATTAGACCTGATTTTATTCATTTTTTAATTTTTTTTTTAAGTTATGCATTTTATTTGTTTTTTCTTTTGAAATGTGTATTTTTTACATCATGGCACTTCCAAGGTATGACTGGAGCCTTTGCTAGTCACATTCTCTGAATATCCATGAAAGTTATATTATATTATATTATATTATATTATATTATATTATATTATATTATATTATAAAAAAGTGTTAATATAATGTAGTAATCTAGATCAGCAGGGCACCTTCAGGGCCTGTCTTCTGATGCACATTATTTTTTTATGATTGCACAGAACAGTTAGCCATGCTTAATTTATCCTCAATACTTTTAGATGCTTGTACCTGTGTGCCTCCTTGGGTAGAATTCAACAATGACATATGCATAAGTCAAGGTTATGAAGACTGCACAACTGGGGACAAAAACCACACAGCATCATCTGTGGCTGATTATAAAGATAAATGTCGTGACCTTTCTCCAGATGGATCTGGTCAACCTCTCACCATTGCCAGCTCAGCAGAGTTCAGAGCACTGGAAACATATCTTCAAGGAATTGGTAAGTTCCCAGATATCAGGCAAGTTGCAATGAGCAAATTAGAATTATGGTTGCAAACATGTTTGATTCAGCCCAAAATTATCAATCTAAATGGCAAAAATATCTATATATGGGCCATTCCGTGGTATTTGGTCCACAGACCTCAAAATTTGAAAAAGGAATCCTACTTATAAAACTTATAATTTCTGAAACCAGTCACCATAAGACACCAGAATCCAAAAGAAATTTTAGGTTTCGATGATTAATTATGATTTTATTGACACTTTTATCTGGAAAACTTATAAAATAGTGTCATGGAAGGACATTTTTATTTTTGATATATTTTTCATAATAGAGATCATTTTAAACAATAAAGGCTAAATACATTATAACTTATTTCTTACATTTAGTCAAGTGCATAAGTTTAAAAAATATTTGATTATAAAATAATGGATTAATTAATATCAATTTGTCCTTCCATGATGATTTTGGTACCTATTTTTTAAGTTTTCTCAGTAACTACAATAGCTAAAAACTTATAACTTCATATTCTCCTCAACCATGATAGGGGCCAACAAAATATGAAAACATTTTTGCTTAGAACCACTTCAATAAGAAATTAAATCCAAATATATAAGCATTAAACATGACACCTAGCACAGTGGGAGCACGTATGAGGCATTTTGATTGGACCATAACAGGTCATGTGACCAATGAGCCCTAAACCCTTATGTCTTTCAAGATAATCTTGAACTTAATATTCACAATTATTATATATAGAAGCATTTTTAAACTGAGAAACATTTCATTTGAATGAATAATTTTGAAGTTATTATAATTTAGACAATTGATTATATTTATAATTAATAGATTTGGTAAGTTTTTCTCTAAAAATGTCCCAATATTATTTAAAGATGATCACAGCAGATGAGAACTTATATTATAGTCAAAGTAAGTAACATATTTGAAGATGAAATATATTACCATAGAAGGACATGTTTATCTTTGATATTATTCATCAAACTTAAGCAGGTATGTATTCATAAAATATTATTATTAGCCTTATTTTACATTTTATTTAGCAATGGACAAAACGTCCTTCTGAGACGCGTCCTTCCACGACGCCTACTTGATTTTTTTATATGCAAAATTTTCAAATTTATTATTTTTTTTTCAAAAAAGTTTTTATACACTGAGAAAGTGAAATAATCAAATATTCATATTTTGATTTGACTTTTAAAATATCTACACAGACAGAGCAGAATTTAAGTGTTGAAGTTGAAAGTTAAAATTCTCCCTTTAGACCAATTATCCAAATAAGATGTGACAGTTAGTGAATGTCATTACTTTCATGACTTTTCAGGTTTCGGCTACACAGCTACCTCCCCTCGTTTCGAGTGTTCTCAGATCTATGCCACTGTGGCGAAAGTTACAGCAACGACTTCATTATATGTCATCATCACATTTTATACTGGTAGGTATAAATAAACCCTAGGGGCTCATTCCCTATGAAGCTATATTGTTCTGCATAGATCAGTACAACTTTATTATCATAAATGTACAATCATTGAATGATAATAGTAACAATATTATTATTATTATTAATGAATGTTCATTGATCGTTTATTTAGAACAACTAGTTATATTTACCAGTCATTTATGTCTCATAATAATAATAATAATAATAATAATTTAATTAATAACTGTACAATGAAGCATGATACTCTCACCAAATTGGTTAATTGTGCAGACAAAGCAAATTTGTACTAAAAATATGAAGCTTTTAAATATACACCTAGAACTTTTTCCTACCAGGTACATCAAAATATGTGTCTAGATCTTTATCATATCATGTAAAATATACATGGTATATTAATACTTTCACAGAAAAATCTTAAAATTGACAAGTTTACATATCATTACATTTTAGGTTCTCCTGTTAAATGGAAGCTGTACAAAAATGACCCCATTTACACTGATGTTAAGAAGGACTTTTCTGTAGGTATGGACAGTGTTCTAATAAACAACGTTTTCCGATTTGATTTTTAAGGACTTTTTCACTAACATTATAATGTCACAACTTGGCTACCTTATGTGTATGAACTAACATCAGACTTGAAACATGTTAAGGTTCATGTACTGTAGGCACATAAGTCACTGACTGTTGTACTAATTGAATATGGTGAGACAAAAAGGTGTTTGTTACCACTATGGTCACAAAATGATGTCTTTTCAGGTGATATCATTTTACTCCACTTCAAAGCAAGTCCAGGTGATGTTGTAGGAGTGGGCAACAGCCAAAAATTATTGATTATGCTCCGATCCCACTTCAGTGGAGAACACTTAACCCTCTGTGCTATGCCTCCAGGGGCTTGCCCACCACGTAAGCTGAACTCAAATGGGAGCCGCAGCAATAGTCCTGAGGTTCAAAAGTCTGAAGGTCTGAATGTTCACTGTAGAACCTTCGGACCAATGAACCCTTGATTAAAAAAAACAATGAAAATGTTACCATTTTTCAAACAAATGAACCTTCGGACTATCGAGGCACTGCAATGATATAGTTGACTGTATTAGAAATGTGATGCTTATTACTGAGCTCTTAACACTAGCCTTACGTTTCACACACTTAGTTACAGGGGTTTTTTTTATTCAAGCCAATTAACAGTGAATTAAAGCAAAATAATGGATGACAGTAACAAAAATGCATACCATACAGAAAAAGGCATTGTTACTGACCAATCAAAGGCCTAAAATTCTTAAAGAGGTCTATAATAAATTTTATTTTACAATTTCCAGCCGGTCGGTGTATAGTCAGAGGGGACCCCCATCTTGGACAATATGATGGAAGAAACTTCCTTTTCAGTGGGTTCTGTACACATAGACTTTCAGAAACTCTCCCAGGAGCCCCCGAGCAGTTCAACGTAACTGGTAGATTTGTCTATAATAAGCCTGGCAGTACTAGGACCATGATCCAGCAGGTTTTGATAAATGTGCGCAATATGATCGTTGAGGTTACTACAGATGGAATAGTGATGGTACGTGTGAATGGGTTTATCCAATTGTTGTCAGTGAAGAGATGCAAATGGAAATATTTTTGATAAATATTTGTCAAACCACCAGGATAGCACATGCCAGTTCTAGTAAATAATAAAATTATGTATAGAACAAAGTAATATATATGCTGTGAATTGCCTGTTTCTAGACAAAACCGTTTTCATCTAGCCATTTGAAAAATCTCAATTATCAATATATCACATGTACAGAATATATTAATTTGGCCATAAAATGGCCAAAAAAACTTACTTGAATATAAGTTACCAGAAGCATTATTGAATTTGATATATCACCAATTTAATAGTTAAAGGGTCCTCATTTACTGTTTTTCTACTCCAGGTTGACAATGTGGTCGTCACTGCAACAATCCCTCCACAAAACATAGGCAGCGGAGTGATGTTGTTTCTTGACCCATCCGACTTTCCAAGGACTGTTGTAGATGTGCCTGGCGTTGTGAAGGTTGAACTCACCACTCCTGTTGGTGCATTAAGACGTAAAGGACACAGAGCCATCATAACTGTTGCAGGTAAAATGGCACGCACGCGCGCGCACACACACACACACACACACACACACACACACAGAAAGAAAGAGAATAAAAGGAAGGCAAACATGTAAAAAGAGACAAAATGGTGAACCATTCTCGTGACTGAAAATGTCCTCAAAATACCGAACATTATATTTTTAAAATGTTTATTTGATATCAGGACAATTTATAAAATCACCTGACGGGTCATTCATGGACCTCATAAGAAGCCAATGTGTTCGTTTGAGCTACCCAGAACTTTTAATTAGTTATTTTTTTAAAAAGGCTGTTCATGATACTTAATTTGTTTAAAGGTCCCTTGTGATTTTTTTTGTTATCCATTTATGGCAATCAGATGGACTGAATGACTCCATTTTCATGATTCCTGCATCAAAACTGTCTGAGGGAATAATAAGAGGATTGTGTTAGTGTTGTAAAAATTTTAATCACCTGAATATGTCATTGTTGTTCAGCTGTTTTTAAAAAATGCTTCTCTACAACAGGTAAGTATGCTGGACTACTAAATGCGTTGTGTGGAAATTTCAACGATGACCCTACTGATGATGTTAACCCCTGTTCCGGAGGCCCTCCTGCAGATTGCTTTGTAGATGACAACAGGTAAGCCATTCTGTAAATATCAATAACTGGCTGATACTTGCAAATTGACCTTAGAAATATCCATGTTTCCTTCAAGACTACCAGTAATTCATTTTTTATATATATACAGTAAGGCTAAATATGAACATTCAGAACAGATGTTACGCAGACTAAATATGGCTGACCCCACTTAAAAGCAAGTTGCCTACTTTCCTGTCTCCACCCATGCCATTTAATAGAATAAGTCTCGGTTCTGATGTTTAATTGCTAGGTCCCTGCTGAGATGGCGCATGTGGAGGCAGGGAGACCATCAGGGAATTAGTCAGCATTGCTTTAAAGTGGGCCGGCCATATTTAATCTGGGGATCTCTTAATCTGAGTGCGCTCTATTATACCAGAAACAAAATTTCCAATATAATGTCTGTTTCTGACCTTCTACACTTTGTATCATATTTTAATCCACATCTTTCAAATACAAGTTTTACTTTGCCGATTTCAGTTGCACCTGAAACAGCCATGTGAAAGAAAACCAAAAACAATGGAGGTTTACATTCAAGAACTTACAAAATCTGTTTGAATGAACAAGCTGGGTTTAATTTAATTCTTTTAATCAATTGGAACTACATGTTTTAGCTTATTAATTGGGGTATCATGCATTTTTGTCTTTGAATTATTAGTGCTCTCTTTATTTACAAGGACACTTCACTACATCGCTATGTTTATGCCAAAGAATGAGGGATAAATTGATTTTTAGCAAAATATCTTGAAAGGTTCCTTTAAAGAACTTGTGATAACTGGTAACTTAACTAATAACTGTGGCTTCTAGATAACTAGCACTTGGTGTATTTTAATTGTGCAAGTAAAAGTAACTCTACCATTAACATTCCAAAAGTACTAAAATTTCATTGAAGTGGAACTATCTAACAATGTGGGTATTTTTGTCATAAAATTGTCAGTGTCTTTATTTCACCAAGGATACAAGGAGTTAATCATGAATGATATAAGGAATAATATTGTTTATATTTACACCTAAAAAAAGGATGAAAGGATTTTGGCTAATTCAAAATAAACTACTGGCAAGGTACCTTTGACAAACTTGTGAACACTTTTTAGAACACTAGATGCTATTACTATCACTTTATTTTAGCTTTGTAGTTTACAGGTACACTGACACAGAAAGATGAATTAAAATTTATGGGGATCCTTTTTTACTTAAATTGTGGGATGTATAAGTTTTACAGTAGTATCCGGGAAGAGACATGTTAATTGGATGCTTTAATTGGGTGCTTTTTTTACTTGAATTTTGAGTTTTTGGATATTTCAATGTAGTAATCGAGGAAGACATAATTGTAAAAAATCAGTGTTAATTGGGGACTCTTTTTACTTACATTATACATTTTGGGATACATGTATGTAGTAACCTGGGAATATATTGTAAAATTATCATGTTAATTGGGGGTTCTTTCAACTTCAATTTTAATCTGGGAGGATATTGTGAAAACATGGAAATAAAACTGGTATTCAAACAGTATTTTTTTTCTTTTCTCTGTCATTCAAAAATCACATTTTAACTCTAAAATGATTCATTTCACAGCACCTTATTTTAAGTATGGAAATGTGTTTAGGGATAAAAATACACAGACTCTCTTAGTTACCTAATTATCTGTTGGTATTGTAAGGTATCCTGCACACAGTTGAAAACACATTTAGTATTTAAGAAAAGCTTCTGTTTATTTCTCATCATTAAACAAATAATTCAAATAAATAGATTGCTAGCACATAGCAAATGTATACCCTCTACCAGGGCGACTGATAGATTCTTACAGATATTCACAGATATGTCTCTAGCTAGATAGATGGTCATTTTGAGCTGAAGTCACCCTGTTGAGGAATCTCAAGGCTGATTACATGGCTGGTAATTGTTTGCATAACTGCTCAGGCACTGCCACTTAGCAGGTCCAGTCTAAGTCTGTGTGACAGCAATCAAGACAGTTAATTGCTCTGACTTCAATCACTTGCTCTTCTGTGATAGATAAAAAAGCCTTAGACTGGTTGAGTAAAGAGCAGTTAACACAGCGTTGTGAAGCTCAGCTCATGCAGAGCAAGTACAAAGCCTTTGGCGCGCGAGCAGAGATAATTGTTTCCACATGGGATCCCTCAACATGGTAACTTCAGCCCAAAATGACCATCTATCTAGCTAGAGACATATCTGTGAATATCTGTAAAAATCTATCAGTCCCACTGGTATAGGGTAGCAAATGTAGATAGTAAACAATTTACCAAACAAAGCCACTCCGTAAATTTAAAGTAAAACAAAAATATGATTTGGAAGTTATGGGGAGAACATCACCAAAATTGTACAATATATATAGAATAATGATCGTAAATGTTAACTGATCATGCTGATTTTTGAAAGCAACCTGCTCTTTGCCAATCAAACAGAGCCAAAAAAGGAAAAAAAGAAAATATTTTACTTTTCCAATATGAAATTGAAAAGAAATCTAGTACATATCAGCAAGTAATTTGTGCAATCATTTAACTTGATCAACCTTGCTTCCTTAACTAGAAACTGAACAATACTGTATACAGTAATTGACTTTGGATGCAGTCAATATATGTTTTGCAAAAGCTTAGAAAAAAGTGACATCAACCAATTTGAAAGTCAACATAATTTTCTGAACCAGTGCCTTGAGCAAAATGACAATCACAAACAACATAAGTCAAAAACTGTTTAATTAAATAACTTTATACCTGAATGCCAATGTATCTCCAGGTAAAATCAAAAATTGCACCATCACTGTCATGCCACATTATTTCATTGTTGATTTCCTTTTTTTTCTGATTCATTTGGTCAAAAATATAAATTACGTCATTGTTTAATACCATGTCTTACCAGGCCTCACATTCCCGCAAATAAGACCATAATCTATGCTAGATCATGCTTTATATATTTATATAAACTTTTTTGTACTATCCAAAATTGATTTTTTCAGTTAAAACTCAATAAACTGCAATTTTTTTTTATTTTAATAGCATTTTTTCAATCTATGATTTGACAATTTTCAAAACTTGCAGAAAACTCGGACCTCTAGGTACAAGTATGTTCAGAAGAATCTGAGATAGCAGGTAGTTCTACTTCAGAGTTATAATGGATTTCTTGAGTAAATGGAAAAAATTAAGCAAACTTGTTGCATTAAAGGGGGATGCAGCATTTACCATATTTGTGTACTGTACTATTTATGGCGTATGTGACCAAAATTAAGGAACAATATTTCAAGAATGACATCTATCAGATTTAAGTTGAGCATCTTTTTCAGATAGTCATAACTAAAGGTTTTAAAATATGTATTTAAAGAATACCAAGACAGATGACATCAAGCCTGTTTTTTTTCCATGACAAGTCAAATCAGAATCCCAGATATTTCATTTAGAAATCTAACTTTTAAGGCATTGTTCAAAAACACAACTACAATATAACAAATCCATCAAATTCAAAATTAATATTCAATTAGCTGCCCTTAAAATGCACAAGGCAAATTTAATCAATCTAATTGTGGGAAAGAAACACTTCTCCTGGTGGGAATTCAGATTGTCTTTTGATCACCTTTCCCCTCTTGTACTTTTCTGTATTTCATTATTATGCATCAGATAAGGAGAAGAGAATGTGTGATTTTATTCATCCTATCCATTTCTCAATCCTGCTCACCTTCAAATTCCATGAGTGGACGTATCATCTCCAGTTTACCTGACAACACTGAAGCCAGTCTACACAAACTTTTTAAGGTTTGTTTCTTTTCTTCTGGTGATCACAATTCGATTTACAATCAATAAATGTTACAGTCAATATTATCCTTATCACGAGATACCTAATTAAATCTTAGATCTTCATGGGCAGCAGATATATCATAGTCAATATCTTCTCCATGGTAAATTTACTTTTACTGGCTCAGTTTCACTGTCTTTGGATTGTTCGTCATTCTTTTGAAGGTCAGGTCATCAAACATATCCTTTCTAATCCCTTTTATCATCCTCTTGATCAACTTTGGTGAAGGGACCGTCCTGGATATTTTGTCAAAAATTGGTAAAGTTATTCTTTTAATCCCAATCATCATCTTCCTGATCATCCTTGGATTCCCCAGGTGGTGGGGGAATCATCATGGATATTTTGTCCATAGCTGAGCTACTACCGGACTCGGCAGAGTTCTTGTTGGCTTCTGCGCCAGGTTTTGTAGTGCCTGATATGCCTTTCCTTCTCATGGTTAATGCTGCAGCCAAACTGCTCATGAGGTCTCCACCTCCTCCACCTCCAATGTCCTACGAAAAAATTATGAAAACATATTAAAGTCAGATATTATACATGCACACCATGTATGTCTGAAAAAAAAAAAAAAATAAAGATTAAAATAAACTAAGGACTAAGTAACTGTGATCATACTAGGTGGTATGTGGGGAATCTCCCTGAATGCAATCAGTTTAAGAGTGCATTCCTAGAGATTTAGATCGATCCATCCAGATCAACTTAACTCCCTGTGGGTCCACGCTAAATTGCAGTCACCCGAGCGCTCACGGTAGTTAATTACCCCCTTACAGCTTTTAGTAGGCAGGACAGACGCTTAAGCCGGCTAAGCTGACAGTAATCTAGTGAGACTCCCCACAGGGATAGATCAATCTAAAATCTGTGGGAATGGGGTCTAACACACTCAGGAAATCAGTGTGGCCTTAGGACCAGTCAAACAGGAGCGGTCCCAAAACCTGCACTGCTCAATGTGAACTGGACAAAAAAAAAATACCACTAGATTGAAATATTTTCCATTCCCTTGTACTACTCAGTCTCTAATAATGTGGGTACTATACTGAGCATCCCAACACTTACCTTTTCTTCCTGTTTCTTCTTCTTCGTGTGAATCTTTTTTTCTTTGGCACTTCTCAGTTTAGCCTTCCCAGCACCCCCTGCTTTCCTAATGGCATCCATAAGCGAAGATCGCCCATCTCCAGCATTTGTGACCTCTGCAGGGATATTGCTGGGTGGAGGAGGGACATCCCCAGGGGGAGGGGGTGGAGGGGGTGCCCCACCAGTATCCCCTGGGGGTGGTGGTGGTGGAGGGGGAGGGGGTGGTGGTGGCGGTGCTCCAGATGGGGGTGGAGGGGATGGGGGAGGAGGGGGGCCAGGAGGAGGGGGCCAGGAGGGGGTGGTGGGGCTGACCCTGTTTCACCAGGGGCCCCTGGGGGTGGCAGTTCTGATGATGGTTCTGGCACTACTGATGGCAGGTCTGGGATAGCACTGCCTGGCAATGAGGGTGCAATGGATGAACCCAAGTCACCTGTCCAAAGTAAGTCATCGGCAATACCTGGAAAATATATTTATAAAATATTAATATATTAACCTATATTGCTTATATATATCTTCAACAATGTTTGTGTTAACTAAAAAAATAAAAACATTCAGGCTTAATGTAAAAGAAGGATCCACCCCTCCTACTCCCCAGGGACAGCCCAACCCTCTGTTGCACTAAAATTCTAAGTGCCCAAAAACATCCCTGATGCTAAGTCTATCAATATCAAAATTTCCTCACTCTAATGGTATGGGAGTAGCAGAAATTATAATGATTAGAAAATTAAGAATCAACCATCCACCAGGGGCATCCCAACCTACTGTTGCACTGAAATTCAGAAATGACCATGCACAACCCTGATGATTGGTTTACTAATCAACAAAGTTTCAATATCCTAACCCCAATGGTCTAGGAGGAGGAGATAGGGGAAACTACTAACACACTGACAGGACTCACAAACAGCCAGGATAACATGATCCCTGACTTCTGTCCCCAAAGTGTGGGGATAATATAAAACCTCACCTGGCAAATCAGGTAAGTTAACAGGAGCAGCAATCTCTGGCACTTCACCCAGATCTGGTCTGTAAAACAGATCTTCTTTCTGTTGTCTCTGCATTTGTTCTCCCAGCATAATGGTACTGGGGGCCGCTGCCAGACCTTCCTCCTCTTCCTCCAGGGCTGTACGTGTCTTTGTGACCACACCCAAGGGATCCAACATCACATATTTCTTGTACCTAAAATAAGGAGATTTGACCAATAATACATGGCTTATGTATGCCATGCTGCTTGTGCAGGGCCTGTAAAATATGTCACCTCTTCTGGTCCATTTGTGATATCACCTCTGTTCAATTCAGAGTTGGAAATATAGCCGATGATTAATAATATGCAACTTTACTTAAAAGTTCCTGACAGTGTGTTACATATACATATAAAATTTTCATTAAGAATAGAGACTAGCAGAGACAACACATATGTAAGATCCCCAATCATCTCGTGCTACTAACTGCTGTTCCTTGCAACAGATGTGTAAAAGATATATTCTTTATATGTCTGCCAACAGTGATTCAACTGAAATCAACTTAGGGGTAGGTAGTGTATACATGTATGAAAAATATATGAGCAGTTACTCAACCTTATTCTTTTTTCTCATTTGAGTTACACTGTTTTGAACTGACAAATGTAACAAGGCAGCAAAGCTGTCAAATGTACAGACAAAAAACAGGAAATAACTATGCACAAAATAGGCTACTGTCAATTCTGATGCAAAAGTACATTATGTTAAACTGCAAATTCAACATCAAATTTTAATGATTGAATCTGACAAACTGCAATGATATGAGTTTATTTCCATTTTTGAAACTTTATTACACAATACACGATAACAAGTTTACCATCAATTTTACATAATCAACTAATAATGTTGTAAAGATGCAGGAAATGCCAAACAAACACTTTTACGTATCTTATTAATTAAATAATGAAACTGTTAACATGCCTAAGAAATGAATCTGAGGAAATGTGAAAAACGGCATTTCTTTAAAATAATGGCCCGATTAAGCTGATTTTTGAACTCAACCTGCGTTTTAGCAGGAATGACCACTCCTGTGAGTTTCATGACAATTGGCGTATGTGTTTTTCTTATATTGTATTTACTGTGTTGCATATATGCTGAAAAGTGAAGAAAAAA